AGTTTACACTCGAAGTAGATTGGTCCCTCTAAGCGAGATCCCAATTCGTCGGTCATCCGACGTGACGTCGAGAGTGACCGACTGAAAGGGAATGATAATTTTTATGATGAATTTTATGAGAATGATAATAATAGAATGATAAACTATCCCTTTAATAAAGCTTTCTTTTCAAGGCTTTTAATTAATTCATTTTTAATTTATTTATATATTTATTTATTTTCAGTAGTTGTCTTCCATTTTTTTATTCCATTTTAGTCATGCCAAAGAGCTTTCACCAAAAACCGGCTGTCACTCAATTTTGGCAACGTGTTGCCGCCCAAGGATAAGAGGCTAACAAGCTAACAGCTTTTCGACATGTCTGGCTGTCTGTGAGGTCTTGGCGGTAGGGGATGAGGCCATACAGTCTTCTCTTTGTCAACCCTTCATTCTTTCTCTCTCCTCTTTCTCTCACTTCCTGTCAGCTGACGAACAGCCTGAGTGACAGTACAGTGGCCCCAAGGGGACACTAAGGTGTAGAGATGAGGCTAATCCCACATCCCAACAGACTGTGCTAAAATGGAGAAGGTGGGGGGAAAAAAAAAAATCGCTCGGAGAAAAGATAAACGCCTTTGCTCACCCGCCGCTCTCGTTTGTTAACCAGGTGGAAAATGTAATGAATGCATATCCCTCAATTTTTTACTCTCGATTTATCGTTTCAATTATCTGATTCTCGTATTCTTTTGCACTTTTTTTCTCCTCACGTCGAGGAATGGAAACCCTAAGTGAACGCTTTATATTCAAAATCCCTCAATTTCAATTTTCCGCCTGAGTATGAGAACTATTTATCATCATAATCTGAGGGAGACGGAGAACTGGCGAGCATTGTGCATGCAAAATTAATTTAGATTAAGCAGAGGTGTGCGATTATGAAGATTACTGACAGTGAGACGAGCGCAGTTCAATACTTTATTAACTGCCGACATCTCAGATCATTTTTGGAGATTCCTCTTTGGTTTTTGGCGGCAGCATTGGAGTCTCAGAGCAGCAGTGCTAGATTCAAGGATTTAATCAAATGTTAAAGATTGGGGAGATCGAAATGTACAGAAAATGTTTAAAAATCACAGTCCCCCTCAATGTCTATGATAGATACAGCCCTGCTTACATGAGTGTTACAGGGTAACTGATATATTAAAACCTTCTGGAAATAAATGTTTCTGTTAGAAAAAATGAAATTAAATGGAGAGAAAATGAGTATTTTTCTTTAGGTCTTCTGATTCTCCGTTTTTTTTATTAGATCTCACATGATCTCACATGTGTTTCAGCAATGTATTAAACTGCTAAGATTTGATCATTTATTTGATCAGAAATACAATAAAATCAGTAGTATTGGCAAATAAATGTTTTCTAATTTAATATATTTTAAAATGTCTTCAGTGTCACATGGTCCTTCAGAAATCATTCTAATATGCTGATTTGCTGATCAAGAAACAGTTCAGACTTTTAAAAATGTAAAAAAAAAGTTGTTCTGCTCAATATTTTTGTAGAAAGCTTGATGTATTTTTTTCATGATTATTTGATGTATTGATTAATAGACAAATAGAATTATAAATGACATGTGACATGTGGCCAAGTATGGTGACCCATACTTGGAATTAGTGCTCTGTATTTAACCCATCCAAAGTGCACACACACAGCAGTGAACACACACACACCGTGAACACGCACCTGAAGCAGTGGGCAGCCATTTTTTTGCCGGTACAAGACTCGAACCCGCAACCTTTGGGTTACGAGTCCGACTCTCTAACCATTAGGCCATGACTTCCCCACTGAAAGCACTAAATGCTTTGTTGAATAGAAAGTTTAAACCTTTTATAACATTATAAATGTCTTTACTGTCACTTTTGATCAATTTAATGCATCCTTGCTGAATAAATGTATTTCTTATTTAAAGCAACCTTGCTGAATAAAGTTATTTCTTAAAAAAAAAAAAAACCTTACTGGCCCAAAAACTTTTGACTGGTAGTCTGTCAACACCTTTTTTTTTAGAAGCTCAGTTTCTCTGTTGCATTTTGAGAAATATATAGTTCATTCATGAAACTCAAGATGGCGCAGGCTGATGGGGTGTTAACGTAACTGATGATATTCAGAGAGTTAAACGACTTGGCACAAGCTGATTGGTTCATGCTGCATATGCAGCCAATGAGCTTACTGCCTTGCATTTTTATGGCTGGCTAGCATTCACTAGAGATTCCTGCAGCGCGGTTTCTCTACAGCAGCAGCGAAGCAGATCTGTTCCGCCAAGACCAAATACATTAACATTGTCATATCCGTCAACATGCTAAAATCTTCCGAGAGTTGTCATGATTGAACTAAAGTTTTGCATTTTGAGTAGTTTGAAATATGACAAAAGTTGATGTGAACTTGACTCTTACCTAAGTTATGGGCAGAGACAGCTCCTGATTGGCCAGGTGGTTGCTGGACTTTAGTGCGAATGATCCTGCAGCAAAGTAAGAGCAAACAGGCATTATCATGTGTGTAAGGATTTATCATGCGAGGTGCTGTGTGTAGAGGTGTTTGGGTATTGTATATGCTTTAATATAAGTATGCAAGCATGTGAAGTGCGTGTGTGTGTGTGTGTGTGTGTGTGTGTGTGTGTG